TTGAAGTGAGAGCAAATCAGTACCAACACTGCTCCCTGTGTACGTGCAAAACAAAGCTCATTTCAAGGCACACGGGCATGGAAAATGCAGCTGGAAAGTTTAACGTTCATGGCAAAGCTTGCAGGGATATACACCTCCTGCAAGTGCTTGGTGAGGACTTTTGCCCTGTGGTGGGCAGCAGGGACATGCACTGCAAGAGCTCTCAGCTTGCAGCAGTATTCACAGCATAAGGTTGCACAGGAAGCCTGAGTAACTATGTGCTGGGATTTTTAGATGCTGAGATGGCTCCAGAAAGCTGATCTGGGGGCTGTGCTTGCTGCCCAACTCACAGAGTTCCCCTACGCCCTGCAGGACAGTGGGGCATCAATCCCATGTGCCAGTGACAACCCAAATGCATGTTCTAACATGGAAGCGGAACATGCTTAAGGAAACTGTCTGCACAGCTTAGAAGGTTTTTTAATAGATCCTTCCAGTAAGTATAAAGCTTGTTAACTGAGGCCCATATGGCTAGGTACCTCATGCCAAAGGTAGAAGCCATGCCTTGGCTACTCCCCTCAATTAAAGAAAGGTGAAAACCAACCACAGCCAGGAAGTACAAATGGTTAAGAGCAACTTGCCCACTGATGAAGGCAAATTGGAACAAGAACTGTGCAACCCATGCACTGTGTAAGGCTGGAAAATCCAGCTCTATGAGAGCAGAACAAAATTTTATTCCAGGTTTTTTGAAGCACCACCATGACTGACACAAATGCTCCAGCTGGAAGAAAGCCAACAATTAATCAGGATTCCTTAGAATTTGGAGGTAATTTTAGCAGAACAAGAAATACAGAAGTATCAGTGAGTCCTGAACATTCCTCCAGGACAAAAATCTATTACTTCATATAAGTCCATTAAAACACTTCATCTAGCTCTTCTAATCCCTCTTAACAGATTTGCTTTATCACAGACAGAGGAGCTAATCCTCTCCCACCTGTCTTTATGATATGGAACCATGAACAAGAGCAAGTACTTTTCATTTTTCAAGCATTATCCCCCCCTTGGATAACCCTCTCATCCACACTAGCATTAGTGTAATGAAGCCACCTTTAGAGAAACACCCCAAGTCATTCTCACCCTATTCCTACAGCAGGAAGAAATTTATTTACCATCTGTTTCCAAAATTCATCTCTCACCACGAGTTTCAAGACAGTAAGCAAACCAAGACTTGAATTCCAGCTTGCTGGAGGGATTTCCCTTTTTCCTCCATCCCAGACCTTATGTGACATTTCAGGACTCTGCTGTGTATAAGCAGATGGCAGGCTTGGTCAAACCCATCACCAACCCACACAATTAGGTTAGTAGGTCAGCTGAACTTATTGCCTAATTACATTATCATTTTATAGAGAGTTCTCATTATTTTTCAAAAGAAGAGCTCAAAGCTATCTGGAAATGGTTGAGAAATAATTATGATCTACATTGTAATGGACTCTGCACTCTGCAGACATGGAGAAAGTAACCTGAACAGCCCACAGACAAATTTCTGGTTGAAGAACTGCAGCCTCTGTCTGCACTTCAGCCTCCTAATCGCCAGAAGTCTCATTAGCCTTCAGCAAACCCCCTTACAACAAAATACAGCATATCTAGATGGTCATTCATTGCTATATTGTAGAAAGCAGAACAGATTATAACCACTGCCAGCTTAAGCCATATTCAAAATAACTTTCGTCTCTTCAAACTGTGGAGCCTACATCCATTAGCTTCATGTTTTTCAGCTAGAAAGACATTAATTTGCTCTCACGCAACCCTGTGTGGTTCTACACAAGATCTGTCTGCCTGAGGGAAGTCACAGACACTTCCATAATGTAAGGCAACCTCCCTGCCTTCAAGGAGACCTGAAAGTGAACTCAAAGACACTGATGAACACCAATTACAAATGATACAGCATCTAACCCAAGGAAAAAAACCCAATTATTATTCTCATTGCTTTAACGCTGCCTTCTCCAGGCAACACCTGGCAACTGGAATACCCCTTAAGACACACAAAGAACTGTTATCTTCTCAGGTCAAAGTCAAACCTTCCTCCTAAGGAGCCACAACCTGAAATTGTTACCAAAGGTTAGTTAGTAAAGTGAACAGTGGTTAGTGTGACTAACTAGAGCGTGGGGTTTGTTGACTTTTTCTGAAGACATCTGAAACAGTGCTGTGACACAGCTCATGGTGGAAGATAATTAGCAAAAGGCAGAGTGCATGTGGGTCCTTTGGGCTTTCTACTTTTCTGCTAGGAACCAAACTCAACCCCCTCCTAAGTCACCTGGATCAAAGAAAAAGAAAAAAAAAAATAAAAAGAGAGAGACAGAGGCAATCAGTAAAACATTTTTCTTGAAGAGGATTAACTAACACCCTTAGAGCAGGAAGAAATTGACTCAACAGAGCTGGATGTATCCAATTGTGACAAGGCATTTGACTCCGTATTTGAGTGTCAGTGCAGAGTCATAAAAATGGTCATATCTGACCACCAATGACTGTTGGACAAGGATTTCATTGTCTCCCAAGGGCTGTTTGCAGCTGTCACGGTTAGAGAAGTATCAGTGGTAGGAAAGTAGCGCAAAGCAAGTCACCTGCTCCTCAGAAACATTCTCCCCTTGGCTTTGCTTCATCTTGTGAAGAATCTATGTTGGAAAGCAGGCTCTGTATAGCTACACATCTGCCCCACAATCCTCCCAGCCCATGAATTTGGAGGTTGGGAGCCATCAGTGCCATTTAATAAAGAATGCCACTTTCCAGCCAGCTCACTGTATGACACTGGACCAACTTTGACAGCATTAACTACAAAAGCTGAGCTTACTCAAATCACCAATATGCAGAACAGCTCGAACACGGCAATGCAGAGCAGCAGGACTTAAAACGCAAGATATGACACATTTGTCAAGTTATTACTGTGTTCTTAAAGTGGAGTTTCTCTAGAACCACTTACTCTCAACACCATGCAAAATTACATCCATTCAATAAACTTCTGACTTTAGAAGAATTGTGGTGTTAGCCTTGACCCACATGAACAGAAGAATGAGTTTTACCCATTCACTCTCAATGAAAAGCTTTTTCCTTGAATATGTGTTAAATGGCCACAAGCAGCTATGACACTCAGGTCACCCTTAAGAGCCTTTAATTTAAAGACAGAAGATAGATTCAGTTGTCATTGAGAAAATGCTCAGGAAAAGAGCCAAACAAGCTGTAGACATAGGCACAAATACCTCCCCCCATATTTCAAAGCTAGCAAACTACAGCACCACAACCAGTATTTTTTTTATCCTGCCTCTTGCTTTTTATTTAGATTTGAGCTCTGTAGGTTCATTACTTCAGTTGATGTACAAGTCAGACAGGCAAAAAGCTCTGTATAGGAAAATTTGAAACAGGTTCACATGTTAATCTGGTATTCTTTAAGAAAAAAACAAACAGAAAAAAAAAACCATCAACCCTCAAAGTTATGGTTTCCTCCTCCACAACCATATTTCCAAATGCTTTGGTAAATAAAAAGGGCCTGCACTTCTTGGCACTGTTAAGCACAATGTATACATTAAATCGCATTAAATATCCTATAGCAAAAACTTACTTGATATATAGTTAGCAAACTTAAAATTAGGTAAACTAAACTAGAGCACAGACTAGTGGTTTTGAAGTATCAATAGGAAGTTATTTGCTACCTGACAGACTGCAAGGAGGAGAAACCCAAACAACCCAGCAATACTGGTACGTAGTTCACAACCTGTTGTTGTAACAAAAGAACTCAAGAGCCATTTTCATTAATTAATATATTTTCTGCATTATAGTTAACATATTCTTCGTGTCATCCTTATTTTGTTACGTATTGATATTTTGTTATATTCAGACATGAGTACATTTTTGAAGTCTTTTGCAATAAATATCATAAAATAATAGAGATTCACATAATAAATATTCTTTACAATAAAAAAAGTTTTAACAGACTTTTGTCTTAAAAATAGTTGGGATTCAACTTTGTGTTTTATACATAAAATATACAAAAAAGGACCACAATTTGTGGCTAAGGCAATAAAACAGGGACAGAATAAAATTATAAAGTACAGAGCAAAGCTAAATTCACTAAACCAAAGGATCACAAGAAACTGTAAGGAGTCAAGAACATTTAGGTGACTCAATGACACCCAAAGGCTGTTTGGATATATGAACACCACCAACTTTAATACCAACTGATACTGATAAGATTATAAAAACAGGAGTAGGAGGGTGGAGTAAGCAATATCCTTCAAAGATTTGACAGAAAAAGAAACAAATGAGTATGTTGCAGCCATAATGTCTCCAATGTGAAGATCTACATACTGTAGCAAAAACTGAAGTTACATTGAAAATGTAAAAAAAAGGCAGGGTAGTTCTCAGGACTGAGAATGTTCCACAAGACAAAAAAGAGAAAGGGGGGGAAAAAATAGGAAAGAAAAAAAAAAAAAAAAAGCAGGCTGCTTAGAAACGAGTCAGGCCTTTCATTTGGTAAAGCCTTTATTTTACATCCCTCTCCAGAAAGAGCATGCACAGGAAGTCATTTCACAACCCAGCTCACTCATGGAAGTTATTCTTCCTTGGTACGTGGGGGGGGTAAGGAAAAATAAAAATAGAATTGCTGAGAACAAAAAAAAAAAAAGATCTTTGGGAAGATATTCATAGAGCAAGAAGCTTCAAGAGCCCAGTGAGCCCTCACTGTCTCTTTCAGGAGTGGTTCAGTTACAAACTCAAAAGATGCTGCCAAAGTGAGTGGCAGATGCAGGTACCAGGTCCACACTTACCAAAGAGCAGCAATGGCTACATAAAATGCTAGGAAAGCAAAGATGCAAAGAGAAGAAATTATGTGTTTAAAGTTGGGGAGACAGCAAGGAAAACAAAAGAACAACCCCCTCCCAAAACTGGGGGGGAAGGAAAAAAATAGAAGAAAGAAAATAATCAGCTACAACCTGAAAAACTGAAGTGGGAGGAAGTAAACCTCCCTCCAAAAATCATGAGGGCTTGCCCTGACCCCGAGAGGGGCAGCTCTCCAGTTTACAATAGACTGTGTTTGAGTTCTTGCATCTGCAGCCTGGACGATTGACGCGGTCATAACACCCTCGGCAGAGCTTCAGGCATCCTTTCGCGGGAGGGTAGCAGAGCAGGCAAGGCAGAAGCAAGGACATGGCTCCCATGCACAGGTACCTAGAACAGCAGTGTGACTGGGAGCAGGAGCAGGGATTATCCGCGTAAGAGTCCCCTTCATCGTCGTTAGAACAGTGGTAGAAGATCCCTTTGACCAGGCACATGCAGGTGCCGTACTCCACCATGCTCTCGGCCGAGCACAGGCACTGCCGGTTGCAGGCCAGGCAGGAGGGCAGCGCCCGGGGGGCCGTGCACTCGCCGCACTTGCACTTCCCACACTGTTCGCAGATGAACTTGTGCTGCGTCAAGTCCTCTTTCAAAGGACCCTTCAGGTCATCTACAAGCAAAGAAGACTGCTTGGGCTGCGTCCGGATTGTCCGGTCAGACCTGTGGCCGGAGCCCGGCCGGGATGGAGGCGACCTCCCCAGCAGCCCTTGCTCGGAGGACGCGCTGCTGTTGCTCCCCGAGCTGGCCGCGCTCCCCGTGCTGGTCGATCTGCTCAAGACGGGAGCCCTGGCGTTATGCTGGTGCCCCACGTGGCTGGGTCTGTGTTCGTAATTATTATTCACATTAATTGGTATGATTTCGTGAGTCCTCTCATGCTTCTCCTGCCTCGGTGCTGTCCGCGGCCCGGGTTTCTTCACTACAGATGGACCTTCGGTGTACTCGTTGCTGCCCCTGATGGCCTTGATCTGGTCCAGTGACAAGATAGTCGTGGGCTGGCTCTCTCTCTCATAGTCCAGCCGCTGCCTGCTGTCCAAGGAAGGCTGCTGAATCACCACCACTAGGGACCCACCGCTGCCATGTGGACTTTGGGGCTCCATCTGTAGTGATCTCTACTTCTGGCATTCAGCGGGGACCTGGCATGCATCTGAAATCCTAAAAGGGGGGAGAAAAAGGCAGAAGGTGTAAATAAACATTGCGTGTACATATAGACACACACACAGAAGATCAAGGCAGAATAAAGCACGGATACTTTTTGCAAACAGAAATGACACGGCAAGCCAAGAACTGCCCCAGCCACCTGGCACTGATCTCTTTCAGCAGGGGGATTACAACAGCGCTGAGGATCTGGCCAAAGTCCAGTAACGGGGAGAGTCTGGGTATAGCATCATAGATGAGGAATGCAAAGGAGACCCCATGTCATAAAAAAAAAATTTAGAAAAATTAAAATCCACTGTTAACCTGCATGCTTGCTTGCCAAGCCACGGAAAGTGCTTCTCACTTGTTATTTAACATCTGTCTCACTAGCAACGGCAACTCTGAATGCCCCCAAAACTAAGCTGGAAACAGGCTAGAACACGACCGTGTTCTCTGCACGGCAGAGTAGAGAAAATGCACAACTCTCACACTTCTGTCTGAATGTGCAGCATCAGAAAGATCAACAGATTTGCTTCCTAGTGCATTTGGAAAGTCTCCTTTTAAAAGTGACGTATGAGCATTACAGAGCTCAAACTGAGCACTGTCAAGCAGCCAAGACATTTTCTATAAGAAAGTAACTCAGCATACAAATCTCATATGCTCCTTATAAAATCAAAGCAAGGGTGCCAGCAGCCCGTTTTTGAAGTATTTTCTGACCACAGGCCAGGGTGCAAAAGAAAAAGGGTAGAAAAGGCTAAACCAAACTAGGTGTCAGGCGCAAAGCACCTAAGGACCATAAGAATGTTAAGAGCAGATGACAAAAAAACCCACAACGATCTCAAAACGCAACGAACAAATCCATTTTCACAAGACAAACAAGATTAAAACCTTCTCAAAGAAACCCGACATGTTCTAGTTCAGCTTTTGAGCGTTACACGTTTTCACTCCGTTTCATGCTGCCCGGCCGCCGACACAAAGATTGCAGGGCTGACTGAGCAACGCGCAGCCTCGCAGCTCCGCAAAAACTTCCACACGCATCTCGACGCCTCTTTTCACGCTGAGAACCCAGAAAACAAACTCCTTTCCTTAACTGACAGCTGGGGCAAAAGTCCCCTTTCGCTCCCCGCCAAGACGCCGTACACGTTTACCTGGAAGAGCAGAAAGGCAAGTGCCATCAGGCATTGCCAAAAGCACATCAAATAATCGGGAGCTGGAGCTTGTGTTGCCTCCTGAGGGCACAGCCGGCACCGAGCAGCTCCCCCCGCCAGACAGCAAGGGACCCAGCGGCAGGGCAGCTGGAGAAGAGCTGGGAAGGTTCCTTCCCACAGGCAGCCGCGCAGCTCGGTCAGAGGAACCCAACAGTGGGTGACACTTCTGCCAGCACAAACTCCTCGTGCTCTTCCAGCAAAGATTTCATTTTACATTTGATGTCACCTGCGGGGGCTTTAGGATCGCCGGATTAAGATGAAAAAAAAAGAGGGGAGAAGGGGGGAGAAATAAAAAAACCCAAACACCCAAGACGTTCACTTCTAATTCACCGCACATAACCAGCTGCCTTCTTCACAAGCGCTGAACACAAACCCACGACAGAGCAAGGGTGAATGAATGCGAAAAAGGGGGAAGATTTACAGCTGTACCAACCAGGAGACGGGCTCCTCAGGGGATGAAAAACAATATCCCGAGAAAATGCGAAAGACATCCAGTGCCATTTTCACAAGACAAACAAGATTAAAACCTTCTCAAAGAAACCCGACATGTTCTAGTTCAGCTTTTGAGCGTTACACGTTTTCACTCCGTTTCATGCTGCCCGGCCGCCGACACAAAGATTGCAGGGCTGACTGAGCAACGCGCAGCCTCGCAGCTCCGCAAAAACTTCCACACGCATCTCGACGCCTCTTTTCACGCTGAGAACCCAGAAAACAAACTCCTTTCCTTAACTGACAGCTGGGGCAAAAGTCCCCTTTCGCTCCCCGCCAAGACGCCGTACACGTTTACCTGGAAGAGCAGAAAGGCAAGTGCCATCAGGCATTGCCAAAAGCACATCAAATAATCGGGAGCTGGAGCTTGTGTTGCCTCCTGAGGGCACAGCCGGCACCGAGCAGCTCCCCCCGCCAGACAGCAAGGGACCCAGCGGCAGGGCAGCTGGAGAAGAGCTGGGAAGGTTCCTTCCCACAGGCAGCCGCGCAGCTCGGTCAGAGGAACCCAACAGTGGGTGACACTTCTGCCAGCACAAACTCCTCGTGCTCTTCCAGCAAAGATTTCATTTTACATTTGATGTCACCTGCGGGGGCTTTAGGATCGCCGGATTAAGATGAAAAAAAAGAGGGGAGAAGGGGGGAGAAATAAAAAAACCCAAACACCCAAGACGTTCACTTCTAATTCACCGCACATAACCAGCTGCCTTCTTCACAAGCGCTGAACACAAACCCACGACAGAGCAAGGGTGAATGAATGCGAAAAAGGGGGAAGATTTACAGCTGTACCAACCAGGAGACGGGCTCCTCAGGGGATGAAAAACAATATCCCGAGAAAATGCGAAAGACATCCAGTGCCATCTTTGGGGGGAAAGCGCAACACCACCGCCGCGGCACACGCAGACTGACACGACCAGCTGCCGACCTGGCAGCGAGCGGCGGCACAGCCCAACAAACCACCTCCACCCCCGCGCAAATCGGCTTCCAACTCGTTTCCCACCCCCCCGGCTAAGTAAAAGAATCAAGCAACGTACAGCAAGGACGGCGGGAGACCTCATACGTTTCCGCAGCCGGGGCAGGCAGCGAATGTCAGCGCTGCCTCCCCACATCTCAGCGACCC